ACGATCCTTAAATCAACAGGTAAATGTCGAATAAGACGATTATCAATTGAATTTGATATTTGATTTTGTTGATGATATTCACATATAAACCAATTAAATTCATGTAATGTTGTAAGTTCAATTTCAGTAAAACGATTATCCCATTTACCAAATATAACTTTCTTAAATAGATCTGATATTTCTATTATATTCTTATTTTGAATATTAGATTCTTGTAATAATAATGCTAGATCTCGAAATGATTGTGGTTCATCTGATCTTAAAGTTACAATATGTCGAAAAATATTTTCAGCTAAATTAAGAAGACCAAATTCAACAAGTTTATAAGCAACAGTTCGTAATAATTGTGGTGATTCTAATTCTAGTTCTAATACATTTGTTAAAATACGTAAACCTAATAATTCATAATTATCATTATCACTATTACGATGAGTATCCTGTGAAAAATTTTCGATACCAAAAATGGAAATTGAATGATGTTTATTAAATATATCAATTGATGATGGATTCGACATTGATGAACGAGCTTTTGAAAAAAAATAAGATGCTATATCAAAATAGAATGATGGTGATTTCAAATATGATTGACGTTCATCTAAATAAATTTGATAAGCTGTTTGCGAATTAGTAGTTGATTTAATTTTGTCCATGTAAGGTGTTTGTGGATCCCAATTTTGAAGAGTGATTGAATGAGTATTAGTAATAATATTGCTACGATTAGGAGTAATAGGCCTATTATCAGCGAAAAATTCATCTTCGTCGTCAAATAATTGTGCATCATTTCCCGGTTCGAAGGAGACGGATTCTAACGGTGATAATCTCTCTGATCGAAGAACTTGATCGAAACTCATGGATTCCAATTCGTGAATGTCCTTGCGTCGTCTTTCTGAAAAATATTCCCTGTGCGTATCACGATTTGATCGAGCTCGTGATAGTGTTACATAATGTACACCTGTATTACGTGGACTAGAAATTCTTTTTCTTTTGACTGCATTTGTGCGATCTTTATTCGTTATTGTTCTGTCGTACCATGTACAACGTGTTTGCCATAGATTTAAGATAGCTGTTAGTTTGGCTTGACTTTTTGTTGATTCTTGCTGTGTTTTATTTTGTTGATACTTTATATAATCATTGTATAATGTTTTACGTGATGGATGTGGACATATATTATGTTCAATATGTTGTTGTAATGTTTCTAAGACAAGTATAGATGTGAAATCATTCACAATAGAATATTTCATACCAATTTCTAAAATACGTTGTTTATTTTTTTCTGGAAATGCTGTTAATTCAATTAACATTTGTTTTGCATATAAACGACGTAATAATCCATAATTTTCAGATGTCAAATCTACTTTATCTATTGTTAGTTCTTTACAATGTATTTGATTTAAGATAGAAAAATTAATAGAAATTTTAGTTGATACTGTTGATGACATTTTTCCAACGAGTATGAATCTTTCTGAATTTGATGTTAAAATAATTGGATGACTTGGATAAATATCATGAACATTAGTATCATTGATAATATCTGTATTAATATATCGAGATTGTGGTTTATCAATCAATTCAACAATAATTTTTGCACTATTTTGAGCCATAATTTTATCACGTGAAATATAATTACCACCACTGATATTAGTTAAATAGTTAATCAATGAAAAATTTGTCGGTTCATATTCACTATTTGCATTAAATATCCATATTGGTTTAGTTGTCAATTGACTCAACAATGTTGGATCATCATTACCTATTGTCGAAAGACAATCACTAAATAAAAAGTAGTGTGTAACATTTGGTATACTAGTTGAAATTGTAGCTAATTGAAATAGATTTGTTGCACCATCATAGGATAGATTAGTTAATAATTGATTGAGTTTTGACCAATAATTTTTATCATATAATTGAAATGTATTTGGTTCTTCAAGTACATTTCGAAATATAATTACAGTTATATTTACATTAATATCATTTGATTGCCAAATATCTAACATATTCTTGAGTATATTTATTTCATGATTACGATTTTCAATATTTGCTCGACTTAAACTAGCATCCCATAGTATACAAATAGATATTGTTTGTTGATTAGTAGTTATGATTTTATTGTATTGTGGAAATGGTGGCATATAACATAGAGCAAAATAGGCTTGACTATGATCATCAGGATCAATTTCTACGCCATACATAACTTGTTCTGCTACTAAAGTTCTTAACATGTATGTAATAGATTGTTCATCTTGCGATGGTTCAACATTGACAAGATGAAGTTCAGAATAATATTTGCCATTTAAATTGATAAAAGGTTGATTAAATTTAATATTTGGAAGAAATTCTGGTTGACGATGATTTGATGTATGTGCACAAATCAATGAAATATCCAAATTTTCGAGAATATTAGTAAAATAGATAGGAATATGAAAGAGAAAATGATCATTTTCAATTTGTGCTTGATCTTGATAAATGACACGTACTATTCGTTTGCCACCAGGTTGTATTGGATAAACTCTTGTACGAAATATATTTCCTTGAACTTTTTCTACTAATCCAGGATCGACACCTTTTCGAACTTCTTTTTCAAA